TACAGTACTGACTGCTCCGATTTTTGTTGCAAGTCTCCGATTTTTTATAACCCTACACAGAAATTTAAAATTTTTACCATTTTTCTTCTATCGCTCCTATCTATGCAACAGATGACCATTACTAAGCAGCTGAGATGTCATTATAAAGAGCATGGCTTACACTTTCACATAAAATTGGAAGCAGTCAAATCGGTTGGAAAAATCAGAAGTTATGAATTTTGAAATTCGTGTGCAAAAACTTTCTGGACGACCTAATAAGAGCGAGGTGGAGCAAGTTAATAGTAAAAAATGTGCTGTGGATTGAAATCGTTATCAGCACTAACGGGAACGTGAGCGAACGCGTCTATTTGAGCGTGCTTATCGTTGTTATATGTTTACGTTTTTTTGGTAAAAAATGCGCTTTTGATTGACAGTTATGCCATCATTGTTAGCACACACTCAAAAAACTATGGGAGATTGGTGAATTTCCACACCTTCACACAAAACCCGCCCATTTCTGGAATCTATACTCTGTAAACCTAGTGCTGAAGAAGGTCACTTTCGTGAAAACGCTCTAGACTCACCTTACCTAATTTTTAGAGAATGGTTGGTTTCAATGAATTAAAAACTCTAAGACATTCAGAAGAATAACATGTTATTAAAATATTCCTCAATGTTTTGGAAAGGTTGGCAGTTTGAAAAATGGCAGGCAGAATACTTTACAAAATCGCAGATGACTCGCATGTGTTCCAGTTCAACAGCGAGGCAGAAGGAGAATCTTACGCCGACGAAAATCTTGTCGACATTGATACAGAGTTGGCAATTGAGTGAAACTCTCTGATTTCCTGCATAAGGAATCCAAGCAGATTGTCTAGTTTCAATGAGGAAATGTCCAGGAAGTCCATTGCTGATCTTCAGGTTGCTGAAGAATTCAAGGCTGCTAAATTCACAAACATGGATATGAACAAAAGGAAGGTGTTAGTATAAAGCATAGTTACTGCGCTTAGATCCCGGCTGGAGTGCGAACCCAACTCTGTGCTTTATGCTTTTGAAAGTTATTCGCCTTGTGACAATATGACCTATGATATTGAAAAAAAAAACCAACGCGCAGCATAGTACCTCCTTTTTTCGGCTATTCCGCAGATGCTGTTAAAGAAGAAGTGAGCAGCTTTCTGATCAGCTAACAGGACGTATGCCAGAGGAGGTGAAGCCAGAGTTCGACAAGGCCCAAAAAGTACACTATTTCCTTCCCGTGTTGCGAAAGCATATGAGATTTGGCTCTTTTCCCATTACTTACCGCAAAAATCTGATGGGCTTACTAGCAAAGCTAGTTTCCATTCCGACTAGCACGGCAGAGGTAGAGAAAGAAATTTTCTATCTACTCTGTTATCAGAACACAACGCAGAAGTCGTACAACGATAGAGCATCTAAGCAAATACTTAAGATTTGTCAACCTTCTACCATTGTTATCTGAAAACTTCATTTAAAGGATCGATATAAGTGGTCCAGACAGGCTGTTACCGTATGACTTTTTGAAATATCCTAAAAGAAGGTATGAAGAAACTGGTCACCTACCTGCTGACTTCCTGGTGCTACCAGAGGGCCACGAAAAAAATCACAAAACCGCTTAAAAGAAGAAGAAAGTTTCAAATCCATTTTCGACTTAGAACGCTTTTGCACGCAATTCTACTTCTACTCCGATGACCTTTTGGAGGAAGAAGAAGATTTTTCAGGCAGCGAACTTGTTGTCTCTGACGTTAGCGATAGTGATATTGTTGATGATGATGTGCAGGAAATGAAGTTGTTCCTAACTTGTACATCTTTTGGGATAAACATTATTGCTTTCGTTTTTTGTTGATGCAGTGAAACAGGAGCACAGATCTTCATAATCAATTTTTTTTGATTTTTTAATTTCTTTTGAAAAATTTTAAATTTTTTTTTCAATTTGTGCCTAAATAAGGTACAAATTAGAGCTCTTCATACCACGCTTTTTTACCTTTTCTCTCTTCCTCCCCCCCCCCTAGACTCACATACCCCCTTCACCCTGGAAGGTCGGAAATAGCCGAGACCCCCTTCACCTGGGGAGAGCCCGGCTCCCCCTATCGCACCTATGGGCGGAGTCGAACCACGGCCGCGCGCGTGTAATTCCAATGGCTTACCCATTTAACCAAATCAAATCAAGTAGCTGTTTTTCGAGAACGCACTTGATTATAATGTTCAGGAAGCGATCTGCATCCAGATCAATAGCTCGCCGGATGCTGGACTGAGGCGCCAAGATATCAACTCCGGTCTGCCTCAGGGGAGATGCCCTGACGGTAGTTTACTACGGGCCTAAGTGTCAGCAAATACTGGATTTTCGGGAGACGGTCAAGAGGCGCGATTTCTCTGGGTGTCACCAACTCAAAACTCAAGTTTAGGGCTACGCAAGTCTTCAAAAAGCACCAGACAAAGTACATTGGTTTACTAGTCATCTAAAGCTACTACCTGCTGAGTTTGAAGGTTTTTGCTGGAAATCCGACCAAAATAAATACAAATTTGTTATTAATTGCATTTTCATGAGTTTTTGACCTTCAAAATTTTCATTTTGAATCGCTTTTGAAATAGTAAGACTGGAAAACTCGTGCAACCATCTAATATATCTCTGCTAAACTCTAAAATACTCCCAGAACCTTACAAAACATCAAATATGTGCTATTTGCTGTCCAGCTGGCAACAAAAATCGCTTGACATACACCCCGTTTTATCAACGCAGAGTGTAGCATTTCGAGCGCAAGATGAATGAGACGGATTTATTGCAAGTCAAAGGATCAAAAAAGGCTATAAACTCCCCTATTTGTTTTGTTTTTTGACTGTCGATATCTTTCTTCTCCGATAGTTGCACAGGCCGCTTTGGATGTGAACTACTATCGCTGCTTGGATTGCAATATGGGTGTACATATCTGGGACTGCTTTTAAGCTGGTGGATACCGAACGTGCTAGCCTTCGACGCCCTCGAAGCTTATATCACCCTTAGACCTAAGGCAGACAGACCTCCCGCGATTCCAGTCGACGCGCGATTTGACACTGCAGCAACTCTTCATAATTTATCGTAAACACGCTTTGCTTGGTCGAGACTCGAAGCGTTTGCGAGGACCTACAAAAGTTACGAACCTATGCACTTGAGAGCAGCGCGCAATGAATCTGGAGACATCGGCAAATTGCCAAGTCGCGCAAATGTGGCGATTTGATGAAATCGGGGAGGTGTGCCTTAGACTTTAGGGCGGTAGCATTTCCCAATGCTTATCATCTGCATGATACCGGGGCGTTAAGGTCGGCCTCTGTTACTCAAGCTGCTTTTTATGCGGCTTCAGTTGCCTTATTGTAGCAAGAGTTAGCTTAGGGATTGGAAGTTTGACAATGTATTTTACGTAATTGCGAACCTTTAGTCAACCTGTTTTTTGCCGCGCCTGAAGTGCATATTCAAATAAATAGATGGAAAAATAAATTCTAAAAGTTGTTAAATTGTAGATGATCGAAGCAAATTTTTGTCGAATTCTAAGTGGTCTGGTCAACTGTATTCCTAAAATTGCTCTGAAAACACCTAATAAAACTACATAGATACACCACTAATTAACTTATAAGGGAATGGTCAGAATTTGAGGTAGCCAATCCAAGCAAGCTGCATAGCATGATGCAACAAAAAACGCTGATTCGAAATCTGTCTTCCTTATCTGCAGAACACTTTTGTGGATGAAATTATAAGCCGTTGAAGGCCATCGTTTTGCTAAGAAATCGTGCGTGTAAAGGGCAAATTTGGCCGTACAGAGCCATGTTCGGCTTAATCTTGTACTAAAAATTCAGCTAGGTTACTTCAGGTGGCCCATAAGCCAAGCGGGCAATAATAAGCTTAATTTCGCAATTCTTATGCGCGATTTCTTCGCTGTAACACTGCTTATAACTTCGCCTACAAAGGCGTTCTGCAGAATAAGGAAGACAGATTTTTAGTCAGCGTTTTATGCTGCATCGAATAGTTTACAACTTGTTTGGGTTGGCCACTTCGACTTCTGACCATTCCTTTGTTAGCAATTTTGCATGCCCAGCAAATATTTCCGTTTTTTTTCATTTCATCCAACATCTACAAGGTAGTATCAGTAAATCTGTGTTATCTCACTACAAAAAACTTTCACTCTTTGGAGGACTTTCCTCGGCGTGTGAGCGTGACAAATTCGAGCTCTTTGCGCTTCTAGAAACAAGATAAATTGGTAAAGGAACCGATCCCTCTGAAATATCCCGAATCAATTCCTCACATTTCCTAGAAGGTTGTTCTTTCTGTGAGTTCCAATGCATTTGTAATTAGCCTTCATAATAGTGCAAACAGGTTGAAATATCAGTTATTTGTGTACTAGTTCTGTGTATCCTCCATACCAATATTGACCTGCTGTTTTGGCAGGAGAGGGTACTTCCCTCTCCTTCTTGGGTTAATTTATCACAGAGGATTTTCTTCATCAAATATCGGAACTAATTTACATTGCTGCTGATAAGAAACGATTCATGTGAATCGTTCAAAAGACTCCAAGCCGTCACCGACGACCTGATACTGCGATAACGCTTTGAGCGTGTCAAATCAAGATCTTACAATTTTGTCCTGTCCAAACGCGCGCATTCGTTCATTTCGTGGTATTTTGTTTCAACCCTTGTTGGGAGACGGTCTTTTCGCACGGGCGGTCTCCAGCGTCTCCCTGATTTTGACTTGTCTTAACATGTGATGCACGCCGCAAATCTTTCCTCCCCGTGTTTTGCTTAGGCAAAAGCCGCCGCGGGGTATGTCGCTCGCGGCGGTGGTCCTGTGTGGAAAGCATTACGGTCGTGCGAAACGTCACACACCCTCCCTTGTTTTTCATTCTATTTCCATACTTAACTTGCTTAAAGTCACTAAACGTCGTCTCCAGCTTATTTTTGTTTTGATTGTAAAAGAAATGTGTCGAAAACATTCAGTCACTTAGTAAAATATTGATTTAACACTTTATATCCCCTGTGCCTGTTTCCAGCTCGTGATGTCAAAGATCAGGGCTCGCGATATTCGCGGTCAGAAGAAGGAAGATGTTGTGAAACTTCTGAAGGAACAAAAGTCCGAGTTGGCCTCGCTAAGGGTTAGTCCACCTACTTCACTTGCAAGATACTATTTTTCGGATACCTTGAGAAGTAAACATGCTGCAAACCACCGTTTCTATTATGTCAAGTTTGGATACCTCTGGCTAAGACTCCTAATATTAGCTGCACGTTCCGAGATACTCGAAAAGATTTTTACTTTGCTTACTGCTTTAAGGGGCGGGCATACTTCACGCGATTTCAGTCGCGACGCGACTTGGCAATATTCCAACTGTCCATAACTCACTGTAAGCACATTCCAATTGTACTGGAGATAGGGCATTTTATCAATCCACGTAAGTTGTACACACTATGCATGTGCGGAATGTAGTGTTGGATCTGAAGACTTCTGGCGAATTGCCAAATCGTGTCGCGACTGAAATCGCGTGAAGTATGCCCGGCCCTCTACTTGAATGATCTGATTTTCAGCACCTGTTTATAGGCTTGCCGTAATTTTGAACTGAAAATAGAGGAAGATAGTTTCTTAATTACCGTGACTATAAGTGAAGGGAACTTCAGCGATGATATTGAGAGTATATCCCCTAGATTCTTCCCATATGAACCAACGTCGCTGCCTCTCAATCGTTTCAACACGTGGACCCCAGCAAGTTTAAAGGCATTGTCCAGGTCAACTTGGGGGTACTGGGAACTTGACACAGCGTGAGAGCACAGCTTCTGACTAACGCAACTGTTCAAGTGCGATCGAAAAAGGTGGAATCTGAAGCGAGAAAATCGCTTCGGACGAGTTTGAAAAAAAAAGGGACGGTACTCCAATCCCGCCCCCTTTCTTCCGAACTCGTTCGAAGGGATTTTCTCGCTTCAGATTCTACCTTTTTCGATCGCACTTGAACAGTTGCGTTAGTCAGGAGCCATGCTCTCACACTGTGTCAAGATCCCAGTACCCCCAAGTTGACCTGGACAATGCCTTTAAGGCGCTTATTCGGAGTTGACATGTCAAAATGATCGAAGACAGCCACGTTGGCTGATATGGGAACAATTGTGGGGGACGCGCCATAATCTGAGCAGCGGGCGATGTCCGGAGCAGCCTTTGCCAATAGCGGATCGAGGGAGAGGGGCGGGAGGGAGCGACTTCTCCCACTTTCTGAAAAATACTTACGTGATTACGATAATATGCAAGTATCCCGTTTATGACTCTGAACAATTAGAAAGATAAAGATTTTCAACAATTTAAACTGGCCTTGAAAAAAAATTTTTATCGAGCCGTGGCTGCCGCCATGGCCCTTACTCCTGAAAGTTCTGAATTGCGGGCTCGCAAAAATTCTGGGAAGGGTTTTGAAAATCTCTAAGGGCCGCATGCACTAATATGGCCGCGGGGAGGGGATCGCAGCTTAAAAGAAAGCTTCATATTTCGAAACTCCAGATACTTGGATTTCACGCTGTGTACCTATCCGTAAGTATTCCTACTAGCCCTCACTATGAACATGTTGCACAGGAGCGAGAATGTCGAGACGCAGACTAGTGAGATGGTCCGACAGTCCCCACGCCAACTGGGCGGTGCCCAGCAACTCCAGATGAGCTGTGCCTAACCGGGTGACCGGTGGTTTTCCCTTCCCCTTTCCTTATCATATAATTCTATAATAAAGATTCTAGTCATCAATGTTATGTTCATATAAAGCAGGACAACCAGGGTGAAGGATTCAAGTCAGGAGAGTGCACCTCCTGGACTTGACATGGAGGTCCCGGGTTGTTTTCTTTTTATGACTCACATTTTCTTGAATCAATCTTCTTTGATCATTTTTTCATATCAAAAAAAAATTTCTTCTTCTTCAAAAAAAAAATCAAAACAATCACATCAGCATAGATTTTGGCCAAATCTTTTGCAAACTCCCACCGCCGGCACCAGCCCTCATCTCCTACGTATCTACGTAGCTATTATCTCCTATCTTTTCTTTGTCAACTTATTTTCTCATTTTTTTTCTTATTTCTTGAGTCAGGCGATGAGTTTGAGTGTGTATTCATATGATAATCTCATTTAAGATAACATTTTGCATTTATTGATATTCAATCATTTTTTCTTGCTATTTCCGAGCCGTGATCCCCCGAGCCGTGAAAAAACGAACCGTGATTTTCCCGACGCGATCTTTCTAGATGGGTCCAACTCTCTAGATTGAGAATCCGCGAGCCGTGATTTCCGCGAGCCGTGATTTCCTAGAGCCGTGATATCCCGGAGCCGTGAATCATTGATATTTTCTTTATGTTTTCCTTTATTTTCAACTGGGAAATCCCAGGTTTTTTTTTCACGCGCACATACATAACTCAATGACTCTATCGCCACAGCCGGCATTGTACATATGTAAATAAGGTCTCGCAAGTGGAAAATGCACTGTGAACCAAGATTTTTTCCCTTTCCAACTGTCACTAGTGGAAAGACCACTGTGAAAGCATTTTTTTGACTCTCGCAAGTGGAAAACGCACTGCGAGCCTAATTTTTTTTTCATAACTCTCACTAGCGGAAAGACCACTGTGTGCCTTACCAAATTCAAAATTAAGTCTCACTAGTAGAAAAAAAACTACTGTGAGTCCAATTTTGCTTAGGGAGAGTTTCATAATTATTTATTATGACTGCCTGAGGAAAATCGACGGGCTATCTGATAGCCCGCGGTTACTTCCAAAGGCTACGCTCCCAGTCCCTTATTTGTAATGGCTAATCACTCAAAAACGAGTGACATTTAGCCGCCAGAAGTAGGCGCATGCAGCGGCAGTGCCTTTTGAACCTCGTATCCCATCGACCAATGTCTGGGCCAGAGGTATGCGGCAATTGTTTGATGCTGATTAGCCACCTATGGAGTCTGGCTGGATCAGCATTCTTATGGAAGCGAGTACGACTGGAAAGAGGTATCCGTAAGGACTCCTCAAAATGATATTCTCTAGGGAAGGACCAACAAAACTCATGGAAAACTTTCCTACGACTCTACTCGCACATCCATAAGAGGTATGCTTTTCTAGTCCTTGTCTATGTTTTTCTGATTTAGCCTTTCACGCTTATTTGAAAAAAAAAAGTTCAAAAAAAAAACCCAACATAGGTCACCCATGTTTGAGTCTTTGAGAAATTGTTTAAGCCAGCCATACCTCATTGACATAGCAGCATGACATAAGATCGGGATAAAAAAGAATCTCATGACTAATTACGATGATTAGCTAAATTCGCTAATTCGTAAATTCGTTTGGATGGTCTGCCAAGAGAATTGAGGCAAACTTTCCAAAAATGAGTCTTTATTTCCAGAAAAAAAATGGTATTTTCAGAGGGTACCAAGAGTTTTGATGAGTTCTCGAAACTGAGATTATATAAAAAAAACTCTTATTTATTGAAACATGATTTGATGGATGGTTGCTTGATATACTCACAACCTTCAAAAAAAACTCTTCGCACATTTGAAAACTATCTGAAAACTTTAATAAACAGCCTAGTTCAATAAGAACTTAACTGTCCACCTCTTGACGACATCAATTATTCTCCTTGCGCAACGAACCATGCGACATAAAGGACGTGTATAGTCCGACATAGCGCGGCTAATACGTTCGCCGCAGTTTAGATACTCGGAAGCGAAGCTAAGAAACGAAATGGGAACGCAAAGAAGAAGATATCCTTTGAAATAGTAGCTCCATGAAGATTTCTGTCAAATCTCGTCTAGACATTGTTAATGTCCTCATTTTATGTGTGTTCGCCATTGTATTACAAACGATTTCTTTTATTCGAATTCAAGTTCCGTCTACACTTAGATGTTCAGAGCATCTGAGAAAGACGGGAACTACTATTTGCCAGTAGCAAACCATAACCCTTACTAATCTCATTAACGCAGCGCCTACTGGTAAAGGGTAAGTTTGCCGCAAGCCTCGCACTATTACAAGAAAGACTTCTTCGATAGGCGGCTCGGAGAAGCCCTTCAGCCATTCAAAATTTCACCCCACGCCCTTGTGGGCAGCGTTAGGAAAGTGTTTCCTCTTGAGTTGCCCACATGATAGACCCCGAAAATTCCATGTTTTTGTTGCCCTTGATTTATTTTCTGAATTCTGTAACGACGAATCTTCAAAACTTCAAAATTTTGAACGTTCTGTCACATTAGCGATTTTTTTTGTGCACTATTGTTGTCTACATTTTTCTTGTATATGTATTTCTTCAATATTCACTACAACCCCATCGCCACCTATCAAAATTTCAAACATCCCAATTTGACTTTTGAACTATACCGCTCCCACCATGTTGTTTTATCCTCATCCCATCGCCATACTCGTCCCTTCAACTCAGATAGAGCCCATCCATCCATGATGTATTGATAATGTCGCTACCGAATCCATCCGCCTCTCCAAACAACTGCGGAAACCTTACTCGCACACAATTCTGATCATTATCCAACTTCCAAGTTTATTTTGCTCCGCTTACCTCTCAGCTCGAGACGAGCTCTTCCTTTTGACAGGGCGTGCGAAAGCCATGCGTTTCTTATAAGCCCTTTTCCCCTTGTCCAATTATGAAGAGCAGTCAAGCAACGAAGCGATCAACAACAGCATGCTCACCAAAGCAACGATCAAAGCAACGATCAAATGGTACATGGGCAGTTTTGATGACGATAATGGTATCAACAACACCCTCTTGCCCTCAAACGAAGCACTGATGATACAAATGGTAATGGGCAGTTCGATGATGGTTTCCTACTCCCAAGCCATGGTCAAAGATGAAAGCTCGGGACGAGCTTTCTTATGGAATGGACATGTCGAGACGCAGACTAATGAGATGGTCCGACAGTCCCCACGCCAACTGGGCGGTGCCCAGCAACTCCAGATGAGCTGTGCCTAACCGGGTGACCGGTGGTTTTCCCTTCCCCTTTCCTTATCATATAATTCTATAATAAAGATTCTAGTCATCAATGTTATGTTCATATAAAGCAGGACAACCAGGGTGAAGGATTCAAGTCAGGAGAGTGCACCTCCTGGACTTGACAAGAAGCTGTACAAACCGCATTTTGCAGCTTTTGTATGATCCCTGATGATCCCCGGCGCTTTTCTTTAAAGTCAATTTTCTTTCTCCGAAGTTAACGAAGAACTTCCAAAGTTGTGCAGATTATCTAACACAACAGTGCTAAGCATGTTGCTGATAAGAACAAATGATGTTTTGAAGTCATGAAATTTTCGTTGATCCACAGGTGGAAATTTGGGGTATGCCGAGAAATTCGATTTTTCAAAAATTCATTTGTACTCATCAGCGACATGCTTAGCACTGTTATGTTAGATGTTCAGTATAACTTTGGAAGGTTTTCGTTAACTTCGGAGAAAGAAAATGACTTTGAAGAATAGATGTTCGTCCCCCAGGGATCATCAAGGGATCCTACAAAAAGCTGGGAAATGCGGATTGTACAGCTTCTCGCTTCTGCTCAATATGTTCACAGTGAAGGATGGTGGGAGTACTTACGGACAGGACAGCGTAAAATCCAGATATCCGGAGCTTCAGAATATGAAGCTTTCTTCTGAAGCTGTGATCCCCTCCCCAGCGGAAATGTTAGTGCATGCGGCCCTAAAAGTGCTCGTCGCCCCTTCCCCTCCCTACCCCGCCCGAACTCTCGGGATCCCAATAATGCCGGCGCTATTTCACTTCATCCAACACAAAGATTGAAAATCACCGTTTCCGCTGAAAATTTGCCTGGAAGGGTTACGATCTGCCGGTTACGAAAAAAGGATTAAAAAAAGGATTTGGCGTCTTCAATACTCTGCGGGCATGCGCCGAACGCACACTAATTCATAGTCGAAGAGGCAGTTGTAGCGTGCGGGCCTATTACAGTGACTTGCGGGGGCCAGCCGGTTACCAAATCAGTGCTTTTATCCTCCCAGATTATTCTGGTGCCAATTTACCTGCCCGGGGATAAAGGGGTTGGTTGGCCCAGGGGTGGGATCGGACCTGGTCCGATTTGGCCATAGCTGCGCCTCATACCATTACGCCACTCGTTCCCCGCTGATTACGAAAATGATATCCATTGCGCGTGGTGAGGTTTTTGAGGGTTTACGTAAGCATACCGTATGGAGTCAAAATCTCAGAATTTGCTAAAATCTTGGTAGGGGGTTATTCGTCATGCTGATCACGAATACCATATTCATTCCCCACAAAGCGCCATATGGTAGGGTTACGGTAGCTTATGGTAGGGGCGTGGATCATGAAATTCGCTAAAACTCTGCATGAGGGGGGTTATTGGACATGCTGATCACGAACACATATTCACTTCCTCACGAAAACAGCTCATGGTGGTTACTGTAGGATTATGGTGTGAGGTCAGGATCTCAGAATCCGCTAAAACTTTGCCTGAGGGGGGGGGGGGGGGTTATTCGACATGCTGATCACAAATACCGCGCTTTTTTCCGCACAAACCTCTCCTTGTATGGTCACTATAGGTAAAAGGCAAGGGTCAAATCGTAAATCATCTGAGACTTTGTGCAGGATTGTTACCTAACGTGCTCATCACGAATACCGCCCTCATTTCGCTTATAAAGCCTTCTCATGAACTTTTGGGAGCTTAATTGGTCAGAAAAGGGGGAAAGATGCTTACCTAAATGCTGCAAATTGCCGTAACTCCAGAACAAAGCGCTGTTGTAGTGAGCAAGTCTGATATTCGTTATCAGCATGCTTGAAAATCCATCCAGGCAACGTTTTTAAGTTTAGTTTCACTTATCTACCGTAAACCCACCGTAACTTGAGGAAATAGTACTACCGTGCAAAGTTAATATGATATCCATGTTCACCGTGTCTGAATAATCGCTCCAGACCAAATTCCAGCCAAATCTAGATTTTGACCCCCTACCGTGCACCTACCGTAACCATACAGGGAGACAATTTTGTGCTCAAAAAGTGTGGTGTTTGTGATCAGCATGTCGAATAACACCCTAGGCAAAGTTTTAGCGAATGCTGAGATCCTGATCTCACAACAATCCTGCCATGGCCCCACTATAATGCGTTTTTGTGGGGAATGAATACTGACCCCATGGCATAATCCTACCGTAACCCGACCATATGGCGTTTTCGTGGGGAGTAAATATGGTATTTGTGATAAGCATGACGAGTAACCCCCCTACCAAGATTTTAGCGAATTCTGAGATTTTAACCCCATACGGTATGCCTGCCGTAACCCCTCAACCCCAATTAGGCAAATTTTCAGCAAAATCCGTGATTTTCACAGTTTTTGCGTTGTATTAAGTGGAACAGTACCCACAGAATTCCAGGTTGCGAAAGTGACGGGTGGAGCGCCTGCGAAGCTCTGCAAAATTCGTGTGGTCAGGAAAAACGTGGCTCGTCTCCATACCGTCATTCACCAAACGCAGAAGCAAGAGCTTCGAAAACTCTATGCAGTATGTTTTGATTATTGCAATGTAGACGAGCGTAGTGTGGGTTAGCTGTTGAAAATTTAGAAGTCGAAGCGTAAGCCTCTTGACCTTCGCAAGAAGAAGACCCGAGCGAAGCGCCGTGAGTTGACAGCAACTGAGAAACGCCTCAGAACTTCGAAGCAGCGTGCGAAACAGCGCGCTTTTCCTATTCGCGTTTATGCCGTGAAGGCTTGAGTTGTTATTGTTGGTGTATTGTTTCGTAATAAACAAAGATTTCATGATATTCAGATCAAAATCCGTTGTTAAATTACGTTTGGTTGTAAAAGTGCAGTCACAGAAAACCGGGCGTACAGACTTCAAAAATACAAAAACTTTTTCAAACAGAATGACGTTCTCCAGATTATCACATTCTGGGGTTTCGGAGGTGGAGAGGATGAAGGGGTCGTTTGCAGGCATCAAGGGAGGAAAAGGTGGAGGACAGTTCGTTCTCGAAAGCCTTGTGCCTGACCTCTTATTTAACTCTGGTTTTCACGCATGCTGACTTTACTACATAACTGTTTACGAATTTTTGTTTTTTCCATATGATTTAACCATATCTTGAAGAACATAACAAAACATCTGCGGTATACCAGACACGATGTGCAACATATCACCATATCATATGACCTTATATAGGGGCCTGCAGGATCGCGAGAGTCGGTGAGGTTGCGGCCATTGCTCGCGCATTGAGCTTTCTCGGTTTTCTTTTTCCTTTTGGACGTTTTTCTGCTATTAGATGTAAGCTTCCAATTATATAAGGCGATTCCGAAAAGTACAGGATTGTTTGAGTGGTTTGAGGCCTTGAAGCATTCTGCGTGCGCAGTGGCCGCAAACTCACCGACTCTCGCGATCCTGCAGAGCCCTATAATAACGGGCTAAGGGTTGTTTATGTGTTTTTGTGTGTGTGTCTGTGTGTGTGTCCGTCTGTCACGAAATTCGTAGAGCGTGTTCCGGCCAGTGTTCTAAGCCCAAATTTTGCATAGCGCATGCTCCCTTCATGAAAGTCTAACATGCAAAAGCATGAGTAGATTCGTTGAGTGGATCCCTCAGAAATTGCGCGCCAAACGGATCCACCTGGCTTCTGTCCCGCAAAATTGGGTCCGTATCACCACTTTTTGCAAAGTCGTGGGTGTGTTTGGTTAGCAAATGTGCAAACGTGGAATGTAGCCCAGAAAGTGGTCAAAAGTTTACTACATAACGAAAACGGCGCCAAAAAGAATTGGTTGCGTAAATGGTCAATTTGCCAAGGTTCTAGCCAAGCGTTTGAGAAGATTTTAGCATAGGGATGTAGCTCACGATTACTATTGCCTTTATGACGACTACCAAGTCATGACAAATTCAAAAACCTATTCAAATTCGCGTTTGTCTTCCTGTGAAAAGTTTCATCGCAAAATCACCGATCTCACGTGAAAAAGCTTTTTAAATGAGTAGTTGTCTACATTTTATTCGTGGTAGTCGGTATAGCGCGGTGAGTTCCAGTGCCGCAATTCTACGAGAATGAGTAAGGCACATAGATAGTACTCAGACAATGGATCGGACCCCTCCGCTGGGCAAGCCGAAACTGCCAGACTCGCGCCGGACCCAATTGACCAATGAGAGCGGGGCAAATGGGCGGTCCCTCGCGTGACATCACTGCCAGGCAAATGGGAGGCTTCTCCGGCCCTGCTGCAAAGGTCCGCCATTTCTCCGGCGCGACCCTGGCAGATTTGCCAGGCTCGCGCCGGACAAATTTGTCCGGCGCGAGCCTGGCAAATCTGGCGGAGTCGCGCCGGAGAAAATGGGAGGGGTCCGGAGCAGAAGATGGGAGGTATCCGCCGGAGAAATGGGAGGTATCCGGAGCAGGCTGCGTATCGATTTGGCGCGTAGCAAGCAAACGTCTAACTCCACGGTGATGAGTCCTCTGTTTACGCTCTTTGTCCATATTTTAGTCGCCGTTTCTTTGATTCTGTTGTTTTTGCGCGTTTCTTTACCGTTTTTTCCTTTTCCGCGTTGCTCTTCGTCGCGTTGGCGTTTATGTTGCTGTAAGTTCCTCGTTTTCAGGTTTATGTTTGAAAATTTCGTGCGGTTGCACTCAATCACCTTCATTGTTTGGCTCTTTCCGATTTGCTGAGACATCGTAGACTATTGATGGAGTGGTTTTTGTGATTAATTCTGGATTTTCGAAACAATGAGGTTAGTTGCGCAACTATCTAGTGTTGTTGTGATGAAAGTATCGTCTAAATAATCCGTTTATTGCTATAGTGTGGACCCCGGCCAGGTTCCCATAGGTACCTCCGCGGCGCGCCCGCAGCGCATGCCTTCAGTGCGCTTTTCGCTTTTTTGTTCGTAAGTGAAATGAGAAGCGTTCAAGTCGGGCGCGCGTTGCGTGTGCGCCGCGCTAGTACCTATGGGAAGCTGGCCAGGGTCCACACTATCTCTCTCGTACGTATGCTTACCAAGTCGATCGACTTTTCATCAGACGTTGCAGATCCTCACTATATCGTTTCTGGCTTGAAAGATAGGACAAGGCAAGAGATATGTTGACAAAAGTCTTGGAGGCAACTCCAAACGATGTTGAAGTTTTGTGACTGTTACTGAAGCATTGTGACTGTTACTGTTGCTTAGTCACATCACATTGCTTCCAGTATTGCTTAGCGAGATTAGGGACTGATAAGGCTAGGTAAGCATGTAAATGTGAAATGTTTGAGTCACATAGCTTCTTCTTTACTGTTTATGTGACTTTCAATTACAATTTGCAGAATCGCTTTTGAACGAGCGTTGGAATTGCAAAATGACAATGTTTGTGCTCTCTCAGCACTTGCCACTTTGGATTACAATACGCATACTGTCGAGGGAGCCCAAAGTGCAGTGGCTTGTCTAGGCCAAGCGTATAGTCTGGAGCCGGAGAATCCGGTTGTCTTGGTCCATCTTGCCAACCACTTCTTCTTCAAAGGAGTCAGTGCAGAAATTCTTTGAATTAATTACGAACTATCTATAAAAGGGACCTTTTAAATTTGTCCAAGCTGTTACATCGAGGTGTTTATCGCTTTATCTGAAGGCATCACTTTTTCAGGAAATGAACAAGGTTGAACGGTTAGCGTGGCATGCAATGAGTATGACGGAAAGTGACGAAATCAAGGCCGAAGCTTGTTACATTCTTGCGCGGTTCTTCCATTTCAACAGAGACTATGAAAAGGCGTTCAAGGTAAGTTGCATATGCAAGAATTTCAATCCATGTCATCATCGTGTCCTAGTACTATTATCAAGCAACTACGTTGAATCATCCTACTTTCGTTTTGCCCCAGTATGGCCTTGGGCCTCGGAATTCGAAGATTTTTGGATGAATATAGCTCATGTATATATCGCACTTGGACAATATGTCCCTGCTTTGCAAATGTGAGTTTATGGCGTTCCTCGCTGTTTTGTTTCATGTTGCACAGAATGCTTTTTTGATCTTTTTGTCATTTTCTTACCATGTTAAAACCATATGCTTATACTGTGGTGTTACAAGGTTCTTTTTGCAACTAGGAAATTAGTTTTTCTTTGAATATTCTTATCACTCCTAGTATGGTTTTTGTAATATGAATTAACTGTTGTACGTATGCTGGAGATAGATAGATAGAATTTCGAAAGTTTGATAAATTTGAAATAAATGTCTTATCTCTTCGTTCTTTCTTCTATCTTCTATCCACAAACGCTAGGGGTGAGAGGGAGGGGGTAGAGTACGGGGTGAGGGTCGCGCTAAACTCCTACCCGGGGGGGGGGGGGTCCTATTCGGCTTATTTGGGTGGGGTTTAGAGCCAAAATTGGGGTTTGGAGCTTAAAGGCAGCGTCCAGGCAAGTCTGGACCTACGGGGATTTTACATGGAAAGTATTTTGGGGCCCTAACTAAGCCACTACCCAACCGGCAGCTCAAGTAATGCTCTAACACCTGAGATATTCTGCTCGAAACCGGACCCCGCGACCGTGTTTCGCATGGATTCATGGCGCAAAGCGTGGATCCTGGCGCGAAACTGCCATGAATCCATGCGAATACGTTCGCGGGGGGTCTGTTTCGAGGGGAATATCTCAGCCATTGGAGCACTACCTGAGCTGCTGCTTCGGCAGTGCCTTAGTTAGGGCCCCAAAAGTACTTTCCATGTAAAAGCCCCATAGGTCCAGATCTGCCTGGAAGCTGCCTTTAATTAGGGCTAATTACAGTATGCCGCGATCGGGGGGCTCCGGCGCACAAAATCGGGGGGCTCCGGAGCAGAAAATGGGAGGTATCCGGAGCAGAAAATGGGGGGTATCCGGAGCAGAAATGGGAGGTCTCCGCCGGAGAAATGGGAGGGCTCCGCCGGACGAATGGGTGACCCACCGCTGGGGAAACGCCGCGACCCTGCCATTTCCCCAGCGGAGGGGTCCGATCCATTGTCTGAGTAGGGCCAGTGCGAGCCTCTGCGAAGCAGAGGTGACGCACTGTCTAAAATAAAGATATCTAAAACACTGCCGCAGTAGAGCGGTTGGCTTGATTGAGGCTCCCGCCAGAGTGCCGAAGTTATGCCAGCGCTACGCCAGCATTTCAATCGATACACGTGTATTTTGTTGGGGCGGGGCTAGCTGACGTCCCCAACGAACAGGGCTCGGCACGAGCTGGCACCAGGGAATTTTGAAAACGAAGTCCCCTTTGAAATTTGCCAATTTTTACGAAGTCCCCCTTGACTTTTGGGAAATTTTACGAAGTCCCCTTTGATCCTCAACGATATCCCCCCTAAAATCCTAAAAAAATCACCAAAATCCCCCAAAAAACGAAACGTCGACTAAAAAAAAAAAAAAAAAAAAAAAAAAAAAAGGTCGCCGCCGCCAATTTTCCGTATGTCTTCGCCCACAAAAACGAAACCCCCTTTGCTTTTTGCCCCAAAAACGATATCCAGCTTGCCCCGTTCCAGCTGGTGCCAGGCCCTGCCAACGAAATACACGTGTATCGATCGAAATGCTGGCGTAGCGCTGGCATAACTTCGGCACTCTGGCGGGAGCCTGAGGACCCGTAAATCCAAGTTAAAGTCAGCTCTGCACGATGCCACATCAAAATGAGAGACGTTGAAATGAGAGATGACGATCACACATTGTGCACATTTTTTGGAACAATCTGTATATGGTTGAAGTAATCATATAAACAATTTCATTTTTCTTTCAACAGGAAACCTGTAGAACATCAAGTTTTTATCGCAAAAACCTAAACGCTATTGTTTTATTGATAAACAAGGAAACAGCTGTCAATGTCCACTGCATACTTCGGCACTCATTGCACTAAATGTTTGAAAAGTTTATTGTTTTGTTTGCCTCATAGCCCTGCATTCTCGTGACTGAAATATGAAAATGGACTATCTCAATCGAAATGCCTATATACACATAGTTCTGGTTCCTCATTGCTGGTGACTGTCACAGTCCTCTTCTTATTTGGCTGCTATTTCGTCTGCTTCCCTGTAAAGACTCAGCAAGTGAAACGTAAAATATTCTGTATACTGACTTGACCGAAACCTGGACGAAACAGCTCTCCGGGATTAGAGAAGATGTCTTCATCTTGTTTTGTAATCGACTTTGTTGGAGAAGTTACTCTATCGAAGGAGCTCATGTCAGACAACACTGGGCTGCTTATTCTGATATAGTTTTAGCAAATATTGGGAAACAGAAGTACTTGAGGGTATGCGGGTATGTCCCATTTGTAGATTAAAGTTTTAGTGCTCTGGAACTTACCCTGCTCGTCGTCCTTTGTTGAACCTGGCTGGAAGGTTGCTAGCGTGGCTTACGCTACTTCGTACTATATCTGAATCCGTTTTGTCCTCGCTTATAGATCTCTGAAGGAGGGAAATGAGATGGTAGAATCATCATTTCCAAACATTTACTTTGCTGACGTTGAGCAGACTGCGTATTTTGTAGCGATTAAAAGTTCTCTCATCACGCTTTGCCATGTACACAATAATGGAGAAGAGTGCTGCACATTCAGTAAGCAGAAACGAAGCCTAGAACGAAAACTCACCGACTAGCAAGGAGAAAAGTCTCTAGTATAAGAACTACCTTTAATAGAATAAAGGAAAACCCGTACTCGAAGTGGAATAATGGATCGTCCATTTCGCTGGCTGCATGGATCTTGTTGCCAACTTCTTTTGATACAGCAGACATGAATACGATAATGCACAGGAAGTTAGCTATCCCTAGAACAAGTGACGAGTAGGATATTTTCTTAGTTTTGCAAGGTCTGGCATGTTTTATGGAGTAAAAAAAGGATTTGTACACTGTTCTTGCCAATCACGAATATTAATTCTGAAATTCTGCTATTGTATGAAATAGGCGAAATAGGAGAGAGATACGCTAGTGGGACGGTTAGTCACCTTTGATTCAACTGGCTTGGCTCCGGGAAGGCGGAGCTTTGTGACTTGGTTAAGACCGCTCGCGCCCGCGACGCACCTGCGTCTCTATCGCGCGAGTACTCTCTGGTACTGTACTCATTACCCAGCCTTAGCTGGTTCACGAAGCCCTGCCTTCTCGAAGTCAAGCCAATTGAAATAAATGGTAATGAAGCATCAAGGTGCTTTCCACATCCATAGAGCGTCTGGATAATAGACTCACTCGTCTCCAAGAGCAAAGGTAAATAGTTGGCTCTAGGATTGGGGCATTACGCGATTTCAGTAGCGAGACGATCTGGCTAGATGAATGCAAGAGTTGCATTCAAAAGCATCTGGCGAATTCGCGAGGCGAATGTTTTTGAATGCAACGTATCGTTTAATTCAACGGGATTGACGGATGAAAGGCGACGGCTCGCACCCGCGACGCAGTCTGCGTCTTCCTCGCGAGCGCGCTCTCTCTCTCTCTCTCTAATCATTCCCTGGCCTTGATTGGCCCTCGAAGCCCCGCCTTCCAGCCGCTAATCCCGTTTAACCAAAGTATACTACAAATGCATAGTGTGTATAACTACTCATAATGCGCCTACGACGAATCACAAACAAATGGAGTACTGTCAAATCGCGGCGCGACCGAAATCGCTTGAAGTTTGCCTTGCGCTTCTTTTGCTCCCTTCCCTCTCTCTACTCACCTTCACTGAATCTTTATGCAAGGCCTAAATGGTATTGAACCTTTTTTCATACTAAGGAGCTATTGCTTTGAAAAAATCTAAAACAACGCTGTTTCCACTATCAGCTTTACTTGATTGATAGATGATTAGGTCCAAGATTACTAGGTGACAGCTTCGAGGAGAAACTCAACTGGCTAAATTTCAATCAAATCGCTTACAAATCTCAAGACTAGCAGAGAACATCTGCACGATAATTCACTGTGTTTATCTCCAGCATTCGTCATTTTTTTCTGTTTACACATAGTTGGGACGTAGCTCCTCCAACGATGCTTACCTGCATTGATGTGAATGATAGCTGCGGTGAATAGTGAACTGTATGGCCGTGGCCGAGCGCAGCATACAGTAGAGTTGATGAGACCGAGGATGTCTAGTACCCCGCCGATAATCATAAAAAGAAAAGCTCGTCGAATAGTTTCTGAAAAACGGATTTTCTAAGAAGGTGTAAGACGAAGACTGTTGACTCCGCTGAAATCATCTATGCAAAAGGAAAACCTCCGTCGCTTGTGAGAATTAGAAAAAAAGAGCTAATGTAAAAGTTCGGTACAATACCATCGGTGCCGCCTTTAACGTTTCCGAAATAAACGCAATGTCGCTTCAAAAACGCCGCAACCTCATAACTGCCTTGAAAATCATTGGCTGGTATAACTCAAAATTATTCCCAGGACCGTGGACGTTTACCTTGACGTCACCAATAATGTGGAGAACCTTGAGTTTCAGAAAATAAAATTATGATTTGGATAGATTGAAGGACGCTGATTCCGAATATGTTTTCTCTGTTTTCAACGCGACATCGTGTTTATATCGGAAATTTCAAAGGCGGCACGATGGTATCGGTGTCACTGTAAGGGCACTTCAAGATAATTTTTGAGAACAGAAAAGAAGAGCAGTTAATCCTTTAAAAATATTTCGTACGAATGAAACGTGACTTACGTTGCACAGAGGTCGTGACATCACTCGCATCTTCGTCAACGAGGTACTGAACATTGTTGCAATGGAACGCGGTCATAGCTGCAATAGAGATTGATAGTAGGGCGAAATGGAAAATCTAGCAATTATTATATTTCTCAAACGTTATATGTAGACATTTTCGGAAATGGGCCCGCACCCGAGTCTTAACCAAAGTTTCATTTTCAAAGGTAACAAATCCAGAGCATTATTGGCTATTATTAGTTCGTTTACCCGAGTATATAATAGATGAAAGTGAGTTTTGCATGATGACTGAAAGAATAAATATTCAGCGTTTAGATATTCCTGGAACTTTGAAAGCTAGCAGACATCTGACTACGATATCTCATCAGGATTTTTTAGCGAACGTCCGAATTTTAAATCCGTAAAATCGAAGCGTCAAAGCTTCTGTAAAAATTCTCAGAAATTTTACAAAGAACTGCATGTTACGGCTGTAAGTGATTCCTAGCCGTCTTGCTATTTGACGCGTTCGAGGAAAAAATCCAAGACTATAATGGAAATCTTTCTATTTTTCCTCTTTTCAAGGCGAAAAGACTTAGCTCTGATTAACGCGCAATGATTAAGCAGTGAATCCAGAATCAGGGCCCGGCGGGGGTGGCGCTTTCACAAGCTGGATATCGTTTTTGGCCCGAAAAAGCAACCGATAAACAATGTCCTTGTTGATGCTACTGTCCTATGAACTTAGGTTCCAGCAATGTGAAGAATCTGTGCTCCGATCGCTAGCCTGCCCGCAGGCAGGAATTCAAATCGCAATTCTTGTAAGAGGAAAATAACAAAATAGGCTCGTTTTCAAAGCACAAGTAACGATATGGCACCAAATTTGCTGTGTAGTTGGAGGACCATGAGCACAAAAAAAGTATGAAGAATTATGAGAAACTTATGTGAATTTAAAAAATGGTGTTTTTCGAAATTAGGTGGCTCCCGCGCCACCTGGGAGCCACCTGGGGTGGCTCCCTGCTTCCCTTCACATAATTTCCCGGATTTCTTTACATAAATGTGGACTAGGTCGAGAGTATTACTATATGTTCAAATCCGCTTCCAAAACCACCAGGGCACCGCTTCGATACAGCCCCAAATAGGGTTCACAGCATTATGATCGGCCTCGGAAAGCGCGCTCCAATCGCAGTCGGTTATTGTAAATAATGAAGTTTCGCAGCTGACTAATAGATGAGTAGTATCTTAGACATATACACGTCAAAGTTTGTGCAAATCTTGACCCTATGTTTTTTATAGATTCCTTTGCGGATGAACCCACTGAGCTGAAACCTTGATGACCCGGGCTGGACTAGGAAAGCTAGGTAGCACTACTATAATAAGCGCTGAAGCCGCCCATCTTATTATTTGTGTATATCTGTTTGTCAGAGACTTACGGGGGTCAAAAATAGGGTCACAGGGGAAGTCGTAGGAAATTTTGGCTTCAAAGGGGATATCGTTTTCAAAATTCTGAAACGCCACCTCCTGCCGGGCCCTGTCCTGAATATATATGTTTTCTAAAGGAAATCCTCATGATAGTCGATTTTCGATTTTTTACATGAAGGCTGGGCCATTATCTAATCATATAGGGCCTACTAATCCGACAACTCGATCTCCAAAATGAGATTTTCTCGGTGTCACACGCGAGTGCGAGCTTGGTGTGGATGAAGGAGTAGGATATATCCCGGATTACACGATATTTCACTAGCGAACTTTTTGTTGGAGACGCAAAATTAGAGATGTACTATGTCGAGCAGATACACTAGAATGTATTACTTAGTCATCCTCCGATACATGAAATTTACAAGCTGCAAAATGTTATAGAACATTTCTTACTTTCGTTAGGCATCCAGCTATTTGCATTTAATGACACAACCTTCTATCAGAAAAAATATAATCAGTACAACTCACGATCTAACCAGCAAAATTGCCAAGGGCCGAATGAAGCATTCTTGAAATAGACAGGCTGATTTGGCTGCGTATCGTCGAAACTCCGGGTATGATTCGGAAGCACGTAGTACTTTAGTACTTCAGAAGTGTAGAGCCAGCTATTTGTTGTGCTACCTACAACAAAGTTTCTTCTGCTTCGATTCTCCTGAGAAAAGCAGAATCTGTTTGTAGCTCAATATAGTGGTAAACTTTGACTCAACTGGCTTGGCTGCTGGAAGGCGGAGCTTTGTGGCCTAATTAAGGCCACTTAGCCCTCGAGGCAAAGTGCGTCTCTCTTGTGCGCGTGCTCTCTGATCACCACCTGGCCTTAATTGGCACGAAGTCCCGCCTTCTAGCAGCCAAGCCAGTTCAATCAAAAGGTATTTTTGAATGCCCATTGAGCCAGTACCAGTCAGAAATCAGAAACACAGTTAGTTAATAAATACTCTATGTATCGTTGAGTCATTTGTAACCTGTGAGCCTACACACTACGCGCTGCATGATGATACTTCATTGATAACTTGCCAGTAAAGGTTTTTTTAGCGGAACAAAGTGTGGAGTTGTGTACTGCTATTCCATATGCTCAATGCTGAAAGAGAGGAGAATGAAGATTGACGGCTTCTAAGTACTGAAGACGTGAAGTAGCGCGCGGCGTGCAATACGCATGTTAATTTACAATTAACTGGGCAATACTCAAATATTTCGGCATTCAGATTGTTCAAGATGTAAGTTCAGAACAATTATTCGCTCTATTCTTTCCAGGAGCGCAGTTGGCCTAAATTTTTATCGGCTGGTTTAAGTGTCACAAGCAATATCAAGTGGGTTAGGTAAAATTTTGGCTGCAAATCATTTCCGGAGGTTTCATTTGATTTGTTTGATGCAATAAGCTGATTGTTGTTATAGACGCACTAGTGCCACGTATTTGTATGTTGAGAGTTTTCCTCTCTTCTAATGCTAGAAATCTCAAACTTTGCCAATTTCTGTGCGCATCAAAGTCTAGAAGCTATATATATCTGTGCGCATCAAAGTTTAGAAACTATGTAATTTTCCATATAATTTTGAAAAAACCTGAGTCTTTTTTTTCTACCACTACTAGTACCTGCATGTAGACACAAAATATTTTAGGGCTAGTAATATTGTGGTATGCTTTTCTTCCACTTCAAATCACTACAAAATGTGTCAAAGAGCTTCATGTAACGAGATAGTTACAGCAGAATAAGAAAGATTGGAAGCACTACGTAAGAGAAGTAAAGCCGTTTTCTCCACTGAAAAATTCTCTATATGTCTAATCTTACTCACTGACAACGCTGCAGATGCATGCTCCCAGCGAACAGTATAGGGCCAGCCTCGTGAGTTTCTTCCTGTTCACTCGTCTGATTTTGATCAATTTGTGCTGACTGACCGGTATGACCATCATTCTGTCTCCTGGAAGACTCATGGGCTATGAAATCAATCTGAAAAGGAAAGCAAATAAGAACGCCAAACCATAGGAAAATCAGTAATGGGCGAGAACTTGATAAGTCGGCGGATAATTTCTGTTACGCTTTTTTATTTGGAGAAAATCCATAAGCTCCCTAAATGGTTAAACTAACCAGCAAGTTTATGGTAGTTTTGTCGCGTTCAAATTTTTTTTCCTTTTCTACTTTTATCTCTTCTTCTTATGCTGTCTCTCTTGTGTTTTTTGAAACATATTTTGGCTGTATGGTCACAATATCTCTAGCGTCTGAAAAAAGGTGAAGAAAAAAAATCTTGAAAAATTACATGAATTGAAATGAAAAATTCTTTCTACATAATGCGCAAAAAAATCTTTTTTTGCGCATTATGTAGAAATTGATACCACTCGAATATAAATTTTGTAATGTTGACACAAATAGCCATAAAACAGACATTCAGGTGTAAAGAAGTTAGTTTGGCACCGTGCCGGTGGGTAGATCTTTGCACTTCATGCCTCAAACGTCAAATTTTTGTCAAAGTGGATTCACAACTTTGAATTATTCTATCATACATGTTTCTTTTATCATCAAAGAGTAAGCCAAAGTGAAAAGAAAGAGAATCATTGAAAAAGTTGCCACTTATAAAATTTTGAACGATGCTTACAGTAAGATTTTCAAGCTAGATTGTTCAATATTTATCTCACCAATTGACACAAAACATTACAGAATAAAGTGCTATATATAAGAGCAGTAGTATAGAAACAGACAGTAATATTTAGAAAAGTTTTCCTTGCGATTGAAAAATTTATGATGTAATCAACAGACCAACTGATTATCTATTGAATCGTATTACAATATATTCTGCTCTTGAAGTCTGCATGAGGATGACTTATGTGGCCTAGAAATTTCTATAAGCACTGATCACGATGCGGCACCTTCGTCGTTGAGCTCGAATGCTTATTAACTTGCGATAAACACTTGACCGTGATGTGTGGAGACGTGGAATTTGTAAAGTGGTTGCACTTAGGAGAGGAGATCTATGGGTACTTTTCCATTGAGCGGAAACATTTCCTCAAAAAATTTCGTGAAATACATGCTTTACTCCAACGTTTTTTCTGTAAATTTTCTAAGGATGTCTCCCTGCCACGAAAAAAAATTGAAACGTTTTGGTTCACTTTGACGAACTTTTCAAAGTTATTTCCGATGAACCCAAGAGCGGAACGACTAAAAGGCTATTTAGCTTTCTATATAAGCGGAACAACACAGAACGTTTTCTCAAACATCTTGTACGCTTTTAGCAATGATGCAATGTTTTCATCTTCAATTTGTCGAACCATGCGAAATCCGCCAGGAGAAAATATGATCGATATTTTGATAGTTCAAAGTATCTCGCTGTCGCTTATTTCGCCGCTTATTGTTGGTTGAAGACACTCTAGCGTACTTTTCTGAGCAATAATGATATGTTTATTGAAAACGGTATGACATTCTTATAATGTTAATGCATAAGCAACAGCGTCAAGATTCAACTCAAAAATGGGTCGTTCTGAAATAGAAACAACAAAACAAGATAAGGATTATAATATTGTTATAAAATTGAGTTTGATTCAAAGGAGAGGCGCATGTATTTCAAATAATAGCTTGGCGAATAATTTCGTTACACTTTTTATTTTAATTCTTGAAATCTCAGTGACTTTCGAAAGAACTCATGTTCACGACGTGTGGGCAGTGTCAAAAGGACATTCGTCGGTACCATCGCACCCGCGGTCCAGGCGCAAAACTGTGGTTGAAAGTCCGTCTCGCCCATTGTAAATGAGATCGCATTCCTTCAAGTAATGAGGGAAAGACCGGATGATGAAGGCACCATCCACCTAGATTCTCGACTTCCAGGTTTTTGTCGTTTCGGGGCATTCCATGTCCATGATTTCGAATAAAAGACGAGAATCCGAGGACCCCGACAATCCCCGTTCCGAAAACCCACAGACCGGCTTTCCCGAGCGGTGGTTGTATGGACACGCACAGATGAGCGGGCATGGATGGGGAGGGCGGTGCTGTCTGGAGTCCTCTTGCATCTTCATTATTCCGGAGCGATCTTCTCGCTTCTGAAGCGACATTTTGCACAGCGACTTGGGCATTGGCTTTATAAGGGGCGCTACTGATATGCTACAAGAAGCTCAAAACTCTTAACTCAGGGTGGACGGTGCCTTCAAACAGGCAGGACGTAGTCTATTGTGTTAAGCAAATATGGGAATGACCCAGACATGTCTACGCACGTTGCTCTGAGCCGTTAAATGTCAGTGTGCACCACCTTTGCAATCGTCGACATTCTAACAAAGAAAATGTCTCCAAAGAATCTTTTTCAATTTTCTGCGTTGCTTTCTACTTGATGCACATAAAAGGAAGAATTTTGGAAAGTTTTCGAATTTTTTGTAATTTTTTACTCTTTTCTCAAAAAGCTAGAGGCACCAAAGTACCTCCATATAAAAGAAGTGCAGAAGTATAGCCTACAAAAATTGTAGAAAAGGAAAACCCACAAGTAGAGGCAGAGAATCAGAAAAGAAGTGAAATTTTGTGTTTTTTTTCAAAACTGTCGTAAACTTCTTGGTCACTTGTGCGTTTGCGGCATCAATCATGCTGCTGTGTAACCTTTGATTCAACTGGCTTGGCACCATTAGGGCGGGATTTTGTGATCTAATTGAGGCCGCTCGCGCCCGCGACGCACCTGCGTCTCTCGCGCGCGAGTGCTCTCTGATCATTAGCCTTAATTAGGTCACGAAGCCCCGCCTTTGCCGATGCCAAGCCAGTTGAATCAAATGGTAGACCATGCTATGTAACGCATCGTGAATTAGGGGTCTTTAGGCTTCTGATATTGCAACAGAACCTATCCGCCAATTATAGTAACCATAATGAATTTGGTGAATTTTTTTCTTTTCACCAGATAGGAAATTTTTCGAAGTATAGGATCTGTAGTAAATCAAATGATTGCCGAAGTTCCAAACTCGTAGTTTCCAATGGTTTTTCGAGCAATCCTACAATGAAGCACCTCCATTCTAGCTTGACTGATAATGACACGTAAAAAAGAACCTCTTGTTACACTCTATTCGTTGAATCACTTATCCAGAAATTGATCAAAACCTTTAGTTTTTTGTGGACATGTAAAATGTGTATAAGCGTAATGATGTTTCCAGAAAAGTATTTTTGGAAAGCAAATATTCTCTACAAATAAAGATTAATGATAGCTGAGTTTCAAATCACCTCACTTTTGAAGTCTGCAGTCATTAGTTTCATCTTAAACTGAGATCTCCAAATAAATGTTTCCGTGAAACAAAGCACCGATCTCAAATTTACAGAGACCTTACACTAGAAAAGCTCTGTCTGTATGACGTCCTTCTTCTTCAGAAAAGAATGAAGCTTTTTATGGGTAACGAGGTATTGAGCATATTGAGCACATAAAAATGGCGGAATGAGAATTCTAGCAACCACCTTGAAATATCTGGAAGATCTTTCAGATAACCATGAGAGGAAAAGAAAGCTGCAGATGCTTTTTTATCACTTTTCTGTTCAAGGAGATCCTATAGTTACTCAAGGGAAAAAATTAAGGACAATTAGAAACAACTCGTTTTTTGGGACACGTTTTAGTAAGCGCAGCATTCTACCATGAATATGCGCAAATACGTCCAGAATGAAAGTCTCACTGAGATGAGGGCCTCTAAACATTTGGCGCAACCTGATAAATTTCAAATTTTAGAGCGTTTTTGGTAGAGGCGTCCACTTCGGAATCTAGTTGTTGCGTTGTCGTGAGATAAGCTTATTCTAATGGTCATATTTTGAAAATTAAAGAAAATCAAGACATTCTCAGCGACTTGGTAAACCTTGGTAAGCTAAAAAGAAAAGAACTGGATAACAGCATTCTTGTTATGCTGGTCTCACGACTTTAGTGGTTTTCATAAAACAACCCCCTAAACTAATAAACCATAGCTGCAGTTTTTTGCGATTATATCGATGTTATGCAGAAAAAAGGATTGATAGCTGAACTAGTGTTTCCCCAAGTTTGAGGAAACAGAACTCATTAGTTATGTAAAATCAAACACCTAAATACGATTTTGTCTTCTGCGAAAAAGAAAAGTTAGCAATAATTATTATAATGATTTTCTACTTTTTACATGAAGATAGTAAGAAGGCAATACATAGAAAAGCAAAAATAAGCAACTGAAAAAGATCTATAGCACGGCTTTGCTTGAGGAAGCCGGGAGCGCCTTTGTGAGTATTCACTCCCGAAAAATCGGATTTGCGAAGGGTCGGTAAGGTAAGCATCGGCAAAAGCGCTAATCTGCATAGTTGATTGGTCGTTTCTAAAATGTCGACGCAAGCAGAACTTGCTCCATTTGTGTATTAGTTTTCGTTTTCATCTCTCCGACCGAAGTCTCTACTCTATTTATCGAATTTCGCTTCCTTCGTTGAAGTGGTGTTCCGTTTCCCATAACTCGTACTGGAGGAAAAAATTCCATTCAACACGTTTTACTCAGCTTGTGACTACGCCTTTTCGCGTATATAGCGAATACAATTGATAAAAAGTCAGTTTTCACTATCAATTTGAATTTTGCTAACAAGGAAGTTTCGTTTCGAAGTGGCCTTTTCACATGATTCCTACATCGCTTTGAAAAGCCTGAATGCTGATCCTAATCCTGTTTTTATTACCTACTGAGCGCCTCTGGACGCCGAGTTAAGAGTGTTTTTTGGAGTGAAAAATGAGCACAGAATCTCGGTAAAAAAACCGTTACGTCTTTCTCAGAGCTCAAGTAGAGCATTGCTGGGTATGAGTATATTAGACAGAAGCTACCCATTGAATGAAATGCTCTGATAACCAATAATGGACCATTAGAGCAATTCTGGACGAATTTCGTTCCAGTCGCACATTCAGTTTTTTAATCCCAGAAACGCTCATAAGTCAGCGTCCAGTAGTGTTTGGCGAGGACAGATTTGGAACCATCTTTAAAGCTCTTCAAAGTGGTATTGGTGTCACATGAAAAGGCCACTTCGATTAGACGGACTTCCCTTGTAAGAGGAACATGCGAACCATGCGGATGCTGATGACAGATTACAGACGATCAGAGGCTAGATTGCCTGGAAGGAGGTATTTCGCATGTTTTTCATTCTGGGCAGGTAAGAGTAGAGCTGTGTGAAGTTTGTTAGAAGAGTGTCGCATCAAATTGGCCATGGTTGGATATATTTTGATCATGCTCCACTTGAAGAAACTTTTAATTGGATCCGTCAAAGAGTCCCTAGAATTTATGCTCGTGCAGTATGGCATCATGGCGATAAATATGCTTTTATATATTCTTGGCAAAAAGTTTGTGGTGTAACTCCTTAAGCAAAGTTCCACGATCGAACAGATAATCTATACGTATTTTTAGCCATTACCTGCCTTTTTCAGCGCTCAACTAGAGCAGTGCTGAGTATGAATGTATTGAACCTCCACAACAGTCAACAGCGCAACAAACAAAGGTTAATCCCGAACGAAGGCGGTGAATTTCGCTTTGCAGCGGCGAGTGCGGGCTCGTAAAGGACCCTGTGAAAGTCACAGGGCCTTTACGAGCCTATGTTATGTAAAGCCAAGTAGTTTTTCTGCGTGTGTTTGCGGTGCCGAGAAAATGCGGTTAAATTTGCGCGTGTGCATGTAACCGCGCCAGTGACGACGGCTACTTGCGCGCGCAAATGTTATAATATTAATATTCGTTGTTCACGCGCAAATTTTACCAAATTTTCTAGGCACCGCAGACACACCATTTGCGGAAGTCTACTCGGTGTATTGTTATGTATTATGATTTCAATGTTATAAGCCGGCTCTAATACAGACAAACAAGAAAACTTTATTCAAAGATCTCTCTGCTTCAAATTTCCAAACCTACAACTAACAAGATATTTTACTGGAGATACAAAATGAGTATAGCAACTCCGAGATCAATGGTGTAGTACGAGATTCCAAATTGTCTGAGATCATAGAGCTCAATGCGATGCGTGATGTTGATGCTTGTTGAATGAGGAAGAAAATATCTTCTTTGACATGACTCAGCCAAATCGTACGAAGGTCTGTGCTCGTTTGCCGAATCTCACAAAAGGCTGGGCTCGCTTTCCGAATCGCACGAACGTCTGGGCTCTCTTCGACATCTGATTTTCATCTGCAATTTGGAAATTTTATGGGCTGACATGGTCCAAATCTTCTAGTACTAGCTAAGCTCTTCACATCACATTTCAGATAATTTTGTAAGCTACTTTCGTTGCCTCAAAATGAATTTCTGCTAGGAGTGAAAATCTATTCATTGCCTTGAATCATAAAATTTTTGATTATTGATTAACTCCTCTATGCTCGCAATTTAACCCATTGACGACGATGTGGACCACCGGTGGCCTACGCGCTTTTTGCTGCCAGGGACGATGTGGACCCCCGGTGGCCCACACCTCTCGCAAAGTCGTACTATTTGCAGGTCTAATATTTTTTCCACATATGATAATTTTTTCCAATTTTTTGCATTCTTAGGACCTATAGGCTCTGTCGTTCAAGAAAATGTTGATAGCTGTTTGCAAAACAATGTTGCATTTCGTAAATAAGCACGAAATCTTCCCACACTGAAGTGTTGTGAATCGCGTCGTCCCACAGCGCCGTCGCGCAAAATTAGGCGTCGTCGTCAATGGGTTAAAGGCCTAGGGCATAGTGTACACGATACCGTCGCGCTGCGATTTCTGAATTACGACAACTGTTACGCACTCATTGCATGTCTTTGTGTCTGCTACGTCGCTTGTGATACTCGTCCGGCGCGACGGATCGCGGACCCTTTTTAGCTAGGGTGTAGTTCTGCAGCGATAATCGCCGCGATTTCGGCAAAACCCAGCGATGTCGCGTCGCGCGTGCTGCACGGGCGACTGGGCGATATCGCTGAGGTGCGGGGGACATCTTGAGGATTTTTTATAGACAGGCGCTGATGTTTCAGTTGTTTTTGTTCGAAAAAGAAATGGAACTTGTTTGAACTGTATGTACAACGATACTTCTAACTTCGACGCCTTTTCCTAACCTTAAATTGTCGGATGACTGTTCGAAAGTGTAAGCATTTTTGACGAGATGGTTTTTTGGATCGTTTTCTGATTTTGTGTTGGAGTCTTTGCTTCTCGCAGAGTTAATACATTATCACTCTGCTTGTTTGCATATTCTTTTTCGCTATCCGTATAAGAACAGAATTCTCTTCCTTACCAATACCAAACGTTTATGCTTGTTTTTTCGCTATCTTCGCAGGGATGCTGTGCTCGACTTTTCGAATAAAGGTGTCTAATGTGGGTCTTCGCTAAAGCACTACAAAATCCACGTACTAGCTTGTTTCACCTAAAAATTTGGTGAAGAGCGTCTTAATAGAAGCTCTTGGCTCGCAAGGGCCGACATTCTCAGGTTAGATCCACTATGCTAAGAACTGGTAAGCTCGTGAAAATTGGATTTGTTGAAAGGTGGGCAAAATGTGAGAGTTTTTTGTACTCGATCTCATCACGATCAACAGGGATCTATGCTGAGAGTAAGTGAGTGGGATAACGCATAACGCACGAGAACAGTCTGCTCAGTTTGCGTGCACCTGCCCTGTGTTTGCAAAGATACGAAATCGCGCGCACTATGCCCATGCACGCGCGACGGACGATTTCGTTGTCGCGATCTCGTCGCCCAAAACACCGATTTCCCCAGCGATGAAATCGCGGCGACAAAATCGTGGACACTATGCCCGTTGCCAAAGGCACGAAGATGGCACTTGGATCACTGAGAAACTTCCTCTTGAACTCTTCAAATTTATAATTTGCCATCTGAGCACTTGCTCCCTTTACTATTAAATTTTGCGCTCTGTCGTTCGGGGACTTTTGACGCCCAGGAATTAGCAATGAGGGAGCAGGTGTTTCTGCAAATCAATAGAAATTAGCAAACATTTTATGTACTGCAGCTTCATATAAGGATTCCAAGTTAGTAAGCTGAGATGAACTCCCACTTGGTAAGACAATAGTTGTCACTCTATCACAAGGGCATGATCCTTATGTTTAGTCGAAGTGGCCTTTCCAGAAGAGACGCATACGAAGGACATTGAACGCTGGTTTCAATTTTCTTATCTGTAGAGCGCCTTTGAAGTTATGAGGGCAATGAGTTATGAGGGCTTTTGCAGCGAAATTCTGAACGCATAGTCAGACGAAAATCATTTACAAAAGTCTCACCTCAAGCGAAACACTAGTGAATGTCAAATTTTTCAGTGAAGAGAAAATTTCCTGCGTGCTACCCCTGTGCTCGCCGTTTCATTTGCGAATTGGAAAGTCTTTCACTTTTGTTTTTATGCTTTAAGCTTTAACGCTCACTTTTTTGACTCGTTAAACGCTCATAACTGCTCGCTCAGAGGCGCTCCATAGACATAGAAGATAGTAAAATTACCGACCGTTCAAGCCCTCAGAGACTTACGCATTCCAACTGGAAAGCCACTTGACTAAGGATCTTTTCCCTGTTAGATACAATACCACCCGTAATTTGTGAAAAAAAATGGCGGCGGCACTTAACTTACGCGGCGCCGCCAAAGTTAGGTGACTTTTGCCGCGTCGCGCGACAAAAGTCGGCGGAAAAGCGGCAAAAGTCACCTAACTTTGTCGCGCAACGCCTAACTTTTTATAAAAAAAGACCTTATCTTGATTCAAAATTTATGAATTCTATATATAAGAGTACCATTCAACTCAGCTCGGCGAGGCGCATCTTCCAATATACGGATGTGCCTAGTTGTGGGATATAAGTTTCTTTCCTGGAATTTTAGTGTAAATGGACCATTCAGTGTGCTGATTCCAGAGGCTACGTACACATTCTATTGAGCACAGCAGAAATAGGGCAGGTATAGTTTAAGAGCTCATTCTGCATGGATATATGTGAAACTGGGCAGCTCATTCTGCATGGATATGTGTGAAAGTGGGCTTTTCTCGGCGAAGTATGACGGGTCCCAAAATGCAGGAAGACAAAGGGAAATGGTTGGAAATCGCATGAGAAGCACATATCGCGGAATGCCGCGCGTGCTGTGCAATGTACAATACCACTCACAGAACGGGAATTTCGCGAAATTCCAGAAATTTCGCGATTCCGGATTATCGCAAATTATGCAGCGCCATAACTTCCTTCGGAATTAATATATTCTAAATTCGAAAGCAGCACTGTGTTCATCTCGTCAAGGCGAATCTTTCGACATACGTCATGTCATCTATATCTTGTTTCCAGTTTTCTCAAATTGCTCTGAGGAGGTCCCTTTGCAAGTATGTAACGCAGCGCCTATCCAACTTGAAAGCTTCCAGTAAGCACCATTCGATAGTGCTCTTCTTGTACATTATAGTGCGCTAGTAAGCTGCCGCAGACTTCTTTTCAAAAGAGAAAAAAAGCGTTAATAAATTCTGGAAAAATCACTCGTTTCCAGATTCTACTCGCCGTAACTTTCTTTGGAGTGGATATTTTCTGAATCCGAAAAATGCATTGTGCTCAGCTCATCAAGGCAAATCTTTCGGTATGCAGAATGTCCTTGATATCTCGATTTCAGTATTCTCAAAACTTTCTGCGGACGTCTCTTCGCAAAGGTGTGAAGCAGCGCGTATTGCCCCCAGTACATTCAGAAAGAAATTTTCGATAGTACTTCTTTTGTAGATTATGGAGCGCTGGAAAGTAGCCGCGTACTCCTTTTCAAAGGAGTTAGAAGGGCTGGTGAATTCTGGAAAAATCATGTCCTTCTAAATTTTTCTCAACGTAACTCTAAAATATGGAGCTCTCTTGCTAAGCAGATGTGATTTTCGTAACCAGCAGGTCGGATAACCCTTAAGTGCAAGTTTTCCAAGATGTTCAAGTAATTTCATTTTTTCTCGTTTTACGCTCTGAAGCTGGCCGATGGATTTTGGTCAAAATGTTCATGCTCTTGAATTGTAAGGAAACTTCGCTTATAGAGGTTTTCAAACACGCTCTTTACGAAAATCGTGGTCTTTGAGGATTACAGGGTCTTTTTGGTGAGATACGGTGAGGTGACTGTAACTGCATCACGAAAGCGCGTAAATTGGCCCGCACTTCTCGCGTATCTGTCAGCAACCTTGCCTGCTTGCTTTTCTCAGTCAAAGTTACTAGGAACTGCGCTACCGAATGGTGCATGAATCAGGCTCCAGTCTGTAAAAATCACCGAGTTACGAGCCTATGAAAACACGTCCTCATTATTTTGCCCTAAATCTAAAGATCGCAAATCTCGTCGAAATTCCACCGTGAGCGCTTGTACAACACGCTGATCAAAATCTTTCGCGTCCTTAATGGATCTTATTGTGTTAGATTTAGTAGTTTGAGTTCTAGCCACTGAAATAGCTCTGATATTCAACTGAGCAGCTGAAGCATATGCAAGTACCATATTCAATACAGTGGGAGTTTTTGGGCGAAGCGAACGCAATATCCGCAATGCGAGTGTCATACAAGCGCTCACGGTGGAATTTCGACGAGATTTGCGATCTTTAGATTTTGGGCAAAATTCATGAGGACGTGTTTTCATAGGCTCGTAACTCGGTGATTTTTACAGACTGGAGCCTGATTCATGCACCATTCGGTAGCGCAGTTCCTAGTAACTTTGACTGAGAAAAGCAAGCAGGCAAGGTTGCTGACAGATACGCGAGAAGTGCGGGCCAATTTACGCGCTTTCGTGATGCAGTTACAGTCACCTCACCGTATCTCACCAAAAAGACCCTGTAATCCTCAAAGACCACGATTTTCGTAAAGAGCGTGTTTGAAAACCTCTATAAGCGAAGTTTCCTTACAATTCAAGAGCATGAACATTTTGACCAAAATCCATCGGCCAGCTTCAGAGCGTAAAACGAGAAAAAATGAAATTACTTGAACATCTTGGAAAACTTGCACTTAAGGGTTATCCGACCTGCTGGTTACGAAAATCACATCTGCTTAGCAAGAGAGCTCCATATTTTAGAGTTACGTTGAGAAAAATTTAGAAGGACATGATTTTTCCAGAATTCACCAGCCCTTCTAACTCCTTTGAAAAGGAGTACGCGGCTACTTTCCAGCGCTCCATAATCTACAAAAGAAGTACTATCGAAAATTTCTTTCTGAATGTACTGGGGGCAATACGCGCTGCTTCACACCTTTGCGAAGAGACGTCCGCAGAAAGTTTTGAGAATACTGAAATCGAGATATCAAGGACATTCTGCATACCGAAAGATTTGCCTTGATGAGCTGAGCACAATGCATTTTTCGGATTCAGAAAATATCCACTCCAAAGAAAGTTACGGCGAGTAGAATCTGGAAACGAGTGATTTTTCCAGAATTTATTAACGCTTTTTTTCTCTTTTGAAAAGAAGTCTGCGGCAGCTTACTAGCGCACTATAATGTACAAGAAGAGCACTATCGAATGGTGCTTACTGGAAGCTTTCAAGTTGGATAGGCGCTGCGTTACATACTTGCAAAGGGACCTCCTCAGAGCAATTTGAGAAAACTGGAAACAAGATATAGATGACATGACGTATGTCGAAAGATTCGCCTTGACGAGATGAACACAGTGCTGCTTTCGAATTTAGAATATATTAATTCCGAAGGAAGTTATGGCGCTGCATAATTTGCGATAATCCGGAATCGCGAAATTTCTGGAATTTCGCGAAATTCCCGTTCTGTGAGTGGTATTGTACATTGCACAGCACGCGCGGCATTCCGCGATATGTGCTTCTCATGCGATTTCCAACCATTTCCCTTTGTCTTCCTGCATTTTGGGACCCGTCATACTTCGCCGAGAAAAGCCCACTTTCACACATATCCATGCAGAATGAGCTGCCCAGTTTCACATATATCCATGCAGAATGAGCTCTTAAACTATACCTGCCCTATTTCTGCTGTGCTCAATAGAATGTGTACGTAGCCTCTGGAATCAGCACACTGAATGGTCCATTTACACTAAAATTCCAGGAAAGAAACTTATATCCCACAACTAGGCACATCCGTATATTGGAAGATGCGCCTCGCCGAGCTGAGTTGAATGGTACTCTTATATATAGAATTCATAAATTTTGAATCAAGATAAGGTCTTTTTTTATAAAAAGTTAGGCGTTGCGCGACAAAGTTAGGTGACTTTTGCCGCTTTTCCGCCGACTTTTGTCGCGCGACGCGGCAAAAGTCACCTAACTTCGGCGGCGCCGCGTAAGTTAAGTGCCGCCGCCATTTTTTTTTCACAAATTACGGGTGGTATTGTAAGAGGTGCCATCCTTTACTCTCATCTTCGTAATTTTTGTGATTTTCAATGCTAACGCTAAGTTGAAGCCAAGCGTGAGTACTTCGCAATCTCTCTTGGACTCATATCTCTTAAAGTCGTTGTCATCCGACAAAAATCAGCTTTCTAGCTCAAATGTTCACAAAGTTGCATGTATTCTAGTCATACATGTAACAGTGGCTCAGACTTTCATTTAAAACTCGAGAGCGAAAGATTCTCACATATACCAGGCATTATTTTGGAAAGTTGAAGGGTGCACCTTCTTTCAGACTTATTGCAAGCCAGTTTTGAAGACACTGAGGAACAGTACGTAGAATCGAACCAAATTTTTACAATTACTGTGAAAGTTATATGGGATATCTGGGTAGAAAAGTCTGGGACACTGAAAGCAGTGAATGTTTAGCCAGGGAATGCCTCCTATTCACGAAAATGTGTTGTTCACAATGCTCTCTTATCTCACTGAGCAAAACGCTCACCTGCTTCAGCTAGTGCCTGTCGGAGGTTCTCATAGAGTTTTGCTTGCTCAAATTCTTCCGGGCTAAGCTCATATAACCCTGAAATAATACTCATTACCCTATTTTCGGATACCTTTTGCTAGTATTTATTGAGAATTTAAACCCACTTTGCTCGTTGACTGGTGAGGAATGAGCGAAGGAGAATAGCAGGGCTGTACAGGCAGCGAGAAGGACCAGCTCGACTACGTTCATGTTGTACCTATAAGGTGTTGTTTTTCAAAGATGAAGGAAAAAGATCTAGGTCTTCGTAATGCAAAGACGAACAACATCAATGTTACGCATTCTACAACAGGCTTAAGACTGTCGTTAAGACGAGCGGATTAACTTATGGTTTCATCTTAAGCCTTTCATTATTTAGAAAACGAAATTCTGAAAGTTGATTCGAATACACGAGGAGCAGAGTTGCATGTGAAGATGGGAGACATACTAGGAACCCAAGAACCGTCATATCCATGGAGGAAGCCAAAAGAAATCGCCTTGATCTTAGTCACTGAAACTCTATAGTTTTGAATTTTAGGAAAACTGCGGTCGTAAATCATAGCCACAGCTCCCGATGCCTTCTTCTGGTCTATACATTTTCTGCTGATCTCAAAATAATTTTAAAGCAATCGCAACAAAATGAAATCAAATATTTAGGCTGTAACTGCTATCTCCTATGTGAAGTACTGAAGGTTGCTAATGCAGTGTGGTGTGTAAAAATAGTATGTGCTGTTTCATGCTTATGAAAATAATGTTGATTTGAGACCTAGAATCCATAATTGACCAGTGATATCATCTTGCGGAATTTCCTAGTATAAAATTAAACCCCTATTAAAAAGAGAGCTATTACCAAGGGCAAGACAGCAGAAGAATGAGTGAAACTTTCTACAAACTCGGCTAGAAGACCTAAGTGCCTGAAATGGGATTTATGTCGACGAAGCCAAGGTGGTCTGAGAGTTCCATATATTTATTGTTTACCATTTGTCTCAGATAGGGTGCCATAAATCACGAAAAAGGAAATTATTTGATAGAACACCTGCCACGATGTCACTAATGAGGTAGGCTGTAGGAATGATTCGAGATGAGATCGCTTTTGATTTTGAAAATGCGATGATACGCACATGGAGACGCGATTGTAAGAAGGGTGGCAAACAGATACTTTAATTCTATTTTGGCAGTAGTGAGTTTACTGTGAAGCCGACCGATTTCAAAAGTGGATTTTGGGAAAAAGCAAAAGTTTTGCGATTTGAAACAAGTAGCGGGACGTCAATTATTGACGTCTGGATTCGCAATTTTGGGTAATTTTCGAGCTCAAGCAACCCTTTTCTCTGATTGTGAAATCGAAATAGGCCAGACGTGTGGTAGGCAATTACCCTAAAATCTAGCACATTTGTCTTTCTGGAATAAATCCGGCTGTCAAACAAGACCGCTTTTTTTCAAAGGATAACGAGGAAAATGCGGCTTGTATAATAAGTCAGGGCTTATATGAAGCGGGCTTAAATGCTAGGTTTTGGAGTAATTCCGTGAAAATAAGCTTGACCACAGCTGAGCTGAACCGGCATATAGTCGACAACTCGTCAAACACAAAGGAAAACCAGCTTTCAAGCCAATAAACATCAAAGTGCTCACAAAAGTTTCCGGCTACACCGCCAAAAGGTACTAGAAGATTAACTTCTGGACGAACAATGGAACTGCCGACATTACTTCGTACATTTTTACGTCTAAGAGAGCAGAAACTACAAAGTCATAATTTTTTTTATCTCGATGGAGACAATGAAGGTAACGCAAGGTTCAGCCCACGCTTAAACAACTATGACAACGTGCAGAATCAGATTGCAAGAAGTCTGAGTCTATGTGGGTGTAATATTGGATGAAAGTACTTCTGTAACTTGGTCTGTGTATACATTTCCTGAGTCTAATTGCTTCTCCAATCATAGCATGGAAAGTTGATTGAACTTTCTCTATACCTTCTTCTCACAAAGTAAAAAACCATATAAAGCAGTATGCTGTTAATAAGCTGCGCACACAAGTACTCCGTGATGACGATGGACTAGAGAAAAGTTGAGGTTTGGAGCCTATTATTCAAGGAAATACTATTAACCTTTTCAATGGTTAGTTAGGGAAATTGCATTTGTTATGATCTGATCGTAGACAGGCGCCGTGTGCTCGAGAAAAGTTGCTATGAAACAGAAAGAAGTTATTGGTTAGGAGGAAATGAAGGACTAACATCTTTTTTTCGCTCGGAAAATATCGCATAGTACAAATATAAATGGCGCACCTGTAATATCTGTAAGTCTGACAAACCGATTCAAGTATCGTATGATGATTTCTGATAGTGAAACGGAATTTTCACTACTGACATTCTACTCCGTAGTTTTTGTGCTATGAATTGCCCATCAGCATTTGCGTAATTGTGAAGCAGAAAACGAACCTCGAAGTAATCTGTAGCGAGAACTTTTACAATGAAGGAAGCAGTGCTAGTGCTATTCTGTCAATGTGTCCTTCGAAACACTCCGAAACAGGAGTAAGCCAGCTTGACTAGTCAGTTAAGTCGAGAACCACAGGTTTGGGTTTCGCCATAAGTTTTCTAAACTATCGGCCTTTCTCATCCCAAACATTATGTATGTCAAGTCTATCGCATGCTCATGAAATGAAATCTTCATGAAATTATGACGAATGAAGCAAAACAATGACAACAAGATTACAGTGAATCGCCTTGATCAAGGATATTGTACATGTTTCCCCCCCCCCGTTTCCCTCGCGACTAATAAAAGTCAGACTGCATGAGAAGTAACGACGCGGAAGCCTGAACTACGACTACTCTTCTCAGCAATTTCCTGAGAAAGTGCGTCAGTGTATGCAGTGATTTTAATAGCTAAGCAATTAGCAATTAGGTGTCTCACAGTAAAAAATTAAAATTGGGGAATATATCACAGCTCGATATTAAAGCACGAAGTTTAATTTGTCGTTCACTGATGTCATACTTAGTGCAACAAAATGCTTTTGTGCCTGGTTGAGGCGCTTCCTCCCCCCCCCCTCCGCCGCCTTTCGCTTTGGAAACGTCGAGAAACCCGGGAGAGAGTAGAGGCGGAAGGATACAAGATCGTCACATGGGTTGTTTTGCCTGATTGGTTGAAAAAAAATTCAAAACATGGATGTTGGAGGTCAAAAATCCATAAAAATGCAACTTACAGCAAATTCTTGACCACATCGCTTGAAATACTTGCAAAAACTGCCTAACCCAACAAACGGTAACTTCAAGTAAACCAGAGCACCTTGCTGGGTTTTTCTTTTTGAAAAAGATGGGTCTAAACTGGGCTGTTGACTTGGTGACTTTCGGAGAAAACGCGCTTCTTGGTCTTCCTCCAGGCACCAACGTCAAAGTGATTTTGTGCGTCCTTTAGAATTTCGTCAACGTTTTATTAATTTTGTTTCCATTGACGTAGTCTGCACTGCTCCATTAATAAAATGAGCAAGAATTCCCAAAGTGTGAAAAAAGTTGCTGGGCAAACACTGTAATAAAACAGCATAAAGAAGGACACACTTTTTGCAAGTTTTTACATTTCCGCCTGAAAGAACAAGCAGGGCAACATCGTCTATATTATAGACGAAAACAAGATCTATCACATGCACCAAAAAACATGTGGAAAAGAACTAAAGCAGGGAAATTAGAAGAAATTCGGAAACTGAGAGATTGTGCCAAATTTCTTATTCAGTTTGAAAAACCGGGTTCGGTGACATTGTTAGCGTATTCAGTAGACATTACCTAAGAGGTTGTGTGCATTTTGCTAGAAATCGATTTTTAACTTTGAAGCTCTTATTAACGGTCGGAACATATACTATTAGGTTGGCTAAAAAATAAGTTCGGTCGTTTTTAGCAGTTTGCAGAATTGTCACAAATCAGTTTTTGTGTGTGCATGTGGTACCACTGGAAAGAGCAGATCAAGAAAAATCGGATGGTTAACTCTGTTTTCTCAAAAATAAGTTTTCTGATAATGAAATGGTAAAGGAAAGAAAATTGGTCGGATTTTCTCCTCAAAATTTCGAAAAATCACGCTCCGAAAAACGAACTGATTAGGTGTAAAGTGTAGATTCGCTACCGACACAGCAAATTTTCAAATTTCCAATCAATTGCATGGCCATAGATGGCCAAATTCGAGTTATCTGGAATGCCCAAAATTTGACTTTCACGCGTAAATACCTAGAAATTTTCACACTTTGGACTGCAAAAATTCGTGGCCAAAGGCTTTATGTAGCCAACCACCAAATTACTCGCCTGTGTACTCATTGCAGGCTGAGAACGAAAGCTGGAAAGTCAAAAAAGCGACTTTTTAGAAGTCTGAACATATAGGGCTATAACTGTCATTTTTTGGTAAGCTGAGATCTTGTCTATTTGATATTTTTGAGTAGAGGCTTAGGGCCATTTTCTCACGAAAAAATCTTAGCTGAAGAGCTGTTACGTGAATTGTTATGAAGTTTTGAATTTGCATGTCAAAACGAACTTATTTATTAGCCAACCTAATATTATACAATGAAACGGATAAAATGCCGTAGAATTAGCATCAGTTTTTGGCAATGGAAGCAACAGTGAGATATTACCAGCATTTGAGGTACGAGTGGGATGACAACTGAGAGGAGTACAAACAATAGAAGGTACTTTACATTTACTACTCTCTTCCGAGTATCGCGAGAGGTACTGTACCTTGAGCTAATACATGGTGTTCCAAAAGTACGTACACATTCTGATATCTTTCCTGTCTTTTTACTCTCGCTGTTTCCGAGGTATCATAGCAAAGGGATGGCTTAATGGATTTGTAAACTGACAAAAGGATACCAGAGCCACATTCCCGTGGAGCGCATGAGGGCTAGTGGAGCAACGCGCGACAAGTGGAGACGCAGACGAGCAAAGGAGAAACAGCAGGGACTATGGGGGCATTTTGCTCTTTAGGAGAACTCTGTGAGCTCTCAATGAAACCCTGTTGCAATATACAGGGTATCCCAAAAAATGTATCGTTTGATCTCTATAACTTCCCCATATGGAAAGCTTGCGCGGATCTTTGAGTGTCATACGGCAGAACTGGGTTCAACTTAGATTCATAGTATAGAGCGAATCACCGATTTCATTAAGTTACTGTAGGATTAAGGTAGGAATTTTCAACTAATCTTAGGCTTTCAATAGGCCAACTGCTTCTAAAAAACTCCAAAAAACCGAAGGACGTTTTGACCG